AAAATTTAATTAAATTTTTTATTCCACTTTGCATTTTGATCGCAACATTTTGGTTAAAAAATCGATAATTTAGCAAAATTAGAATTAAAATATGTAAATATACTGTTCAATACAAAATTTATTTAATTAAAAACTCTTAACCCGGCTTCCGGTAAATTGTTTTGTAATTGTTCTTGATTTCATACCCCTATTTTATGACTTGAGAAATGAAACGAAATCTGATTAACAAAACTGGGATTCATGCCTTTACAACAACAATTAAAATTAAGCCAAATCGGTATTGCAAAAAAGCTAAAAATTAAAAACATAATCATACATTATATATATTTTGTATAAACTTGATCATTATTACATTATTATTTTCTTGGAATATAAGCAAAAATATTTCTAAGCCACTTTCTTACATAACTTCCTACAATTGTTATCACTTATACTCTATACTTATATACTATGAGCAAAATTTAAATTAAAAAGTCTTACTATTTTTTGCCCACAGTATATATGTATGTACATATATTTTGTGAATGACCTTCCCCTCCGCATTGTTTTATATGTCTCCACCAAAATTTTTCACTTGTGTAATTATTCATTTCATTTTATTAAATTTACGTGCTCAAAATAAACCGATTTGCCACATTTTCTAAAATTCGAAAATTCAAAAACATTATCGAATTAGTAACTAAGTTTAACCATAAGCATTCGTTTTAAATTGCAAACGAAATATTCGTTTCGTTGTGTTCTCTTTTATTTCATTTCATTTTTTGGCACTTCATTGTTCGCTTGTTTGCTGCGTCAAATCAAAACCAATACACCAATGCCAATCATACGAAATGCTACACAAATTTCCTCTTTTGCATGCGCGGCTACAAAATCAGCAGTTCGGCTAGTCCCGAAAGCGGTTTGGGTACGTCGCACACCTCACTGCCGGGTTCAGGGCAGGGTAGTGCGAACGAGAACGCCATCGGCGAGGACGACTACGATGGAGCGGAGATCGAGGTGCTGCAGCCGTTGGGCACGTGTCGAGCGCTCTACCCCTTCGAAGGTGAGCACCGTTATAAATAACTGCATAGCTTGCAATTTTATTAATTTTTTCTTCAATTTCGTCTGTTAGCGACCAGCGAAGGCAGCATACCGATGATTGAGGGCGAAGAACTGCAAGTCATTGAGATCGATCAGGGTGACGGTTGGACGCGCGTGCGCCGTGCCAACGCCGCGAACGGCTGGGATGAGGGATTTGTGCCGACTAGTTATATTGAATGTACACTGTATGCATAAGTCGTTTATATAATTGTTTAAAGATCAACTTTTTTTTTGATTAATTAATTTTTAATTATTAATACTTAATTAATTTGGCTTAATTTAAGTACGAAAAGAGTTGATTTAGTTAGTTTGTTATTAATTAATGTTGAAATTTGGCACTTTTAGTTTCGTGTTTTTTCATTTTAAATTTTTATTTTTTGAAAATTTCCACCCCTTGAATTATTGGCGAGTTCTGATTTGCTGTTTCTAAATGTATAAATATGCTCTGTGTAAAAAAGTGACTTACTAACCGAACTTCCACATGCTCCAACAACAATCAAACAATCATAGTCCATACATACATTTGGTTGAGAGCATGGCATTCATTTATAAAAACAACAAAGCTGTCGACGGCGCCGAGCCGAGCAGTTCCACAAGCAGCACACCGACTATTGACTATTTCGAGCAACAACACAGCAGTGTTGTCTAGCATACTATGTAAATGTGTATGTGTCCCAAACGTTTCGATTCCAAAATGACCAAATATGATTTGCTGACTTTGAGCGCAAGTGAGCGATAGCGAAAGAGAAAAAGAGAGAGGGCGTAACTTAAGCGCGAAATATCTAATAACCACGCATTGTGAATTCGCTTTTCATTATGTACTATTATTATTCATAATTTTTTTCATTTGAAATTTTTCATAATGTTTATATAGAAAAATAATTAAACTAATTTAAAATGCTGTGAAAGAAAGAAATTCATACAGACAGTGATACAACTCTATTGTAATTGTATAAATGAAAAAAAAAAATATATATATAAACAAAATTGCAGAAATGTGGGAAAACTGCAAAGAAAACATCAACAAAGAAAAAAATATTTGTTAGGGGGGTTAGCGGGGCAAATGGTTAACTTAAATGTGTTTGCGTAGATAAAATGAAATTGTATTTTTATTTCAGTGCATTTTTTAATTTTTCACTACCACTGTCACAGCCACAACTGTTATTATAAACATACATATTAATTATATAACAAAATATATAAGAAGTTGCACGCTCTTTCGCCGCAAATTAAAAAAAATTAAAGTTTTAATTGTAAATTACTGTCAAAAACTCACTAACAGATCTYTCTCTAAGCAAGCAAATACAAAAAAAAAAAAATTATATTACAATAAAAAATAAGCAAATCATAGTAAATGCAAAATATTTAAAACTATAAAACGCAACCTCTATTAAGCACCAGCAACACAATCATACAAAAAACTATCAATTTATTATAAAGAATGCAAACATGCCCTAAAAAAGCATTAAATTATTTGAAAAAAAAAAAAATAATAATAAATATATAAACGCATCACTTCATACATACTCTTACACATCATAAACTAAACCAATGGCGAGTAAAAATAATAATAAAAACGTAAAATGAGCATACTAATTAACACTATTAAAGTATTGAAATGCTGAAATTTAATTATACGCTGCCTCCACCGTGCTAAGAAAAATGCAGGGAAACCGGAAAATTGTTTATTTGTTCGTAATTTTTTTGTTCATTCATTTTATAATATTTTTATTTTATTTTTTTTGTTCAATTTTATTT